AAAAAAAAAAAAAAAAACAACAAATAACTGTATAGGAACACCCTCCCCACTCACCTGATCTGGGCCCCAGTGACTTTTTCTTTACCTAAAGATAAAGGAAATATTGAAAGGAAGACATTTTGATGGCATTCAGGATATCAAGGATAATATGATGACAGTTCTAATGGCCATTACAGAAAAAGAGTTCCACAGTGGATTTGAAGTGTGGACTAGGTGCTGGTGTTGGTACATGACTTCCCAAAGGGAGCACTTCAAAGGTGATAGTCACATAGTGATATTGAGCAATGAGGTATGTAGCACTTTTTCTAGGAGGAGTTTGCAAACTTAATTGTCAGATCTTCAGATTTGAAACTTTCAACATGACCCTTTAAAAGGGATTGGTGGGAGTAAAAGATTAAGCTAAACACTGGGCAGGTTGCTCACGTGGTGGTAGAAAGAAATGTTATACCTTAAGTCTGTCACATTTCCAAGCTCTTTTGCTTTAGGCTAGAAAATTTAGAAAGAAGCTAAACAGGGAAGTGCTTAGAATTGAAAGATTAAAAGGAAGAGTTGAATTCCCCTGTAAATATCCATTCTTAAGGGCGTCAGACAAAAAAAAAAAAAAAATTACTAGCCTAATTTGAATTCACATCAGTAAATTCTGTGAACCTCACTTTGTCCTCTGTAAAATCAGGAGAATGTTTGCTTAGAAAGTAATTTTAAATCCTAAAGAATTGTATGTAACTATAAAATGTAATGTATGCCCATTTAAGTAAATACTAGCGAACATTAATTACTTCCTTTCTTGCTTCTATGTTTATATCTCATTACCTCATGAAAATGATTGAAGACACAGGGCGGCTCCTGTGGCTCAAAAGGGTAGGGCGCCAGCCCCATATGCTGGAGGTGGCGGGTTCAAACCCAGCCCCAGCCAAATAATAATAATAATAATTGAAGACATACACACCAACCAGGACACCGTGAGCCCTTTACCTCTTCTGTGTGTGTGGCTCTCCAGGAGGCAGTGTGGAGACCACAGAGCCAGAAGAGCAGGGCCAGGACAATGACAGGGCTGGACTCAGAGCAGGAAGTTTACTCCCGAGAGGCTGAACCTCTAATCTCTCAGACCAAATGAATAGATAAACATGAGTTTTCGTGGGGTAGGACAGTCAGCCGTGGCTGATTCATGCCATTGTAGTTATCTGCTGATGATAAAAAGGACTGTGGGTTTTTAATGTCAGGGTGCCCTTGGGAACCTCCATCATTAGAGACTCTGGAGGACTCAGAGGGGCTGTGGCCCTTGGCACTGAGAGCCCCCAGGCAGCTGGAGGAGGGTGGTGTGTGTTGCCCGCTCCTGAGTGGGGAAAGCAGAGAATAGTCCGACCAAAATGGCCAGCAGGTAACGTAAGTCTGACAGAGTAGTTCTATATTATGTTAGAGTAACAAAACCAAAGCATTTTCAGTGAGGGCTTTTACTCTGGACTTGCAGTGAAGTATATGCATTTATCTCCTAATCCCTTCCCTCTCTTCAACCCCTCAAAAAAATCAACAAAGTATGAAAAAGGCATAAACACACAAGGACAGTGAGAGACAGAGAGGCAGTGGCAGCAGATAAGAAACATCAACAGGCTCGGCGCCTATAGCTCAACCGGCTAAGGCGCCAGCCACGTACACCTAAGGTGTCGGGTTCGAATCCCCAGCCCGGACCCGCCAAACAACGATGATGGCTGCAACCAAAAAACAGCCGGGCGTTGTGGCGGGCGCCTGTGGTCCCAGCTACTTGGGAGGCGGAGGCAGGAGACTCGCTTGAGCCCAGGAGTTGGAGGTTGCTGTGAGCTGTAATGCCACGGCACTCTGCCCAGGGGGACAGCTTGAGGCTCTGTCTCAAAAAAAAAAAAAAAAAGAAACATCAACAATGGCACAGCTACGGAGAGGCTGGTGAGCAGTGGCTCTGAGTAGCCGGGGAGGCTGAAGAAGCTGATCTGTGTGTGTTGGCGAGCGTGGGGATGAAAATAAGATGCCACCTGCATGGAGCCTCAGAATCCCAGAGAGGCTCAGGAATTCAAGTGTAAAATGTATTTCTGAAGAGTAGCTTAAAGTCTCTAAAGGAACACTTAGACCCCCAGATCCTGTCCTCCACACCACGATGGGAGCTTTGCATTCTGGAGAGAGAACCCAGAGGGTCTGGACTTGGGCTATCTGGCACAGCTGGGGCCGGGGTGAGCTCCATACCAAACACAGAGAGAGTAGGTAGGAATCTAAATACCGAATAGTGAAGACCCCCGCCCAGTACTCCACATTCCATGGCTAAGCTCTTAAAATGTTGGCAGCCATGTCGATATTCCCTACGAGAAAGTTTGAGGATTCTTCTCAGGAGAAACTAACTCAAAGGCAAGACCTACAGATAGTGCCATGTGGGACCCTCCAATAAAATGGGTTTCCTGGGCCGGGCATGGTAGCTCACGCCTGTAATCCCAGCAGATGGGAGGCTGAGGCAGGTGGATTGCCTGAGCTTACAGGTTCAAGACCAGCCTGAGCTAGAGCGAGACCTCATCTCTTAAAAAAAATAGCTGGGTGTTGTGGCAGGTGCCTGTAGCCCCAGCTACTTGGGAGGCTGAGGCAAGAGAATCGCTTGAGCCCAAGAGTTTGAGATTATTGTGAGCTGTGACACCATGGCACTCTACCAAGGGTGACCAAGTGAGACGCTATCTCAAAAGTTAAATAAATAAATAACGAATTTTAAAAATGGGTTCCTTACTTCTCACCAAACCCTGAAACTCATCAGACAACAAGCAACAAGCGCCCCTCACACAGAACTTCCAAGTCCTCTTTAGAGCCTCACGTTTAAACATAAACTGTTCACCAGTGATTATTAAACTTATGGAGAAAGCATTAAAATAAAGGAAGAGGTCAAAATGAGCAAAACAAACCAAAGGAATTTAGGGAAAACAGGGACAATGCGGTTGCAAAAGAAAAACTACAAAACAAAATCAGGAAACTGTAATATGGAGTGAACAAAGAAATATTGCCTCTATAAACTATGCCCCCACCAAAGGAAAAGAATAGTGAGTCACCAAGAAAGACCCCTTAGCAATGAAAAATACAATTGCAGGCCAAGAGCAGCGCCTCACTCCTATAATACTAACACTCTGGGAGGCCTGAGGCAGGTGGATTGCTTATGCTCAAGAGTTCAAGACCAACCCATGCAATAGCAAAACCCCGTCTCTACTAAAAATAGAAAAACTAGCCAGGTGTTGTGGTGGGCGCCTGTAGTCCCAGCTACTTGGGAGGCTGAGGCCAGAGGATTACTTGAGCCCAAGACTTTGAGGTTGTTCTGAGCTGTGATGACACCATGGCAACATAGTGAGACTCTGTCTCAAAAAAGAAAAATTGCAATTTTCAAATCACTCAAAAAAGAGAGATTGCAAAAGTGAAAATGTTCTATTGAGGGATTAAAATATAAAGTTGAAGAACTCTTTGAGAAGATAGAGCAAAAGTCCATAGAGATGGAAAATGGAGAGAAAGGATAAAATATTAGAGGATCGATTTAGGAGGCACGACATCTGACTTACGTGAGGTACCGAAATAGAAAGAAAAGGAAATTGTCAAAGGAAAATTTCCCAGGGCTGGAGTAAAGAGAAGATCCCAGAAGCTTCCCAAGGGAAAAGAAAGATCACAGGCAAAGGATTAAGAACCACATGGGTTTCAACAGCAACGCTG